TTTCCTTTTTCTTCCCTAGCTCTTTGCTCCTTAAGGGCTTTGCCTGGATGTACAGCCCTTCCTGAGGAGAGCTGGCACACCAAAACTGATGTTATAAATAACGTTGGCTCCTCTCCTTGCTCTTTCCCCTCCCTGCATAGAGCATAATTGGCTTGATTACAGAATTTGCCCTGTTTAATATCACCAAGACAGTGAGACACCTCCAGCCTGTTTAGCAGAAGCTTTCAAAGATATTTCCACTTTAAAAATTGAATTTAATAGTTTTTCTCTTTCCTAGGCTGTCAGCTTCTCTATGAGATTCTGAGCTGTCCTTACGGGAAACCTCTCCTTTGAACACATCATTGCACAGCATGTGAACACACTGTACCAAAGGAAGGTCTGAGAGTTAAAGTGCCTTTTATACGCCCACTTTGAATCACTGATTCTCTTTACAGAGCTGTGCCGGCAGCAACCACTTTGCAAAATCTTATGTGTTGTGGTTTCTAGATTCTTAATCTGCGTTTTTGCAAGGAAATAATTATTGCTGTTAATTTAAACAACAACCAGAAAGCCCCAAGTTCTTTAAACAGAGTCAGGAAGAGCTGCATCTGTCTAACCCTTGGAGCTGGTGAATCTCAGGCTTGCAGTAATTGAATACAGCATGTGATGCCAACCTGGTTAGTAAACTGAAGTACTTAGGCTGACAAGCTGTAAACACATTCAAAGCAGCCGTGGCTGGGAGCCAGCGTGTGCACGCGCTCCGAGATCTTCAGTGCTTCTAACCACTCTGACTGGTCCTGGTGCAGGTCGCAAGATTGCACTTACGACTGTGACTCAATCTTCTGGTTTTGAAGTCTTTGGAATAGGAAGGAGCACCACCTTGAGAAGAAAACACCAGAACCTTATAGGCATGAGATACCTATGAAACTTTTAAATTTTTTTTTATTTTCTAATGCAGTTCATGAGGATTGGGAGCAAAGCACTGATTTCTTGCTTCTTATTCCAAACTGGCTGGATGTTGGGTCCTTACAGCTCCCATCGCAGACAGACAGGAATGCTCTGGCTGCTGCCCTGTGATAGTCCTGTAAGACAGATTTATTCTGAAATGTGTGGGTAGAGAGGTAGCCAAAAGATGGAAGGGCAGTGGACAAAGGCTAGAAATGAATGCTGGCATCAAAGAGGTAGGGACAGAGTCAGAACATGAAATACTAGTCAGACTTGTACAAGTGAAAAACGGGCTAACCAAGCTGGGTGGGAAGCATGGGATGGACTGCTGACCACCTGGCACTCCCTGCTGAGTGGTTAGAGTTTGCCAATACAGACTGCTCCCACATCCTGCTGGGAACATCCCATCTGCACCTTGGCTAATAAGTGTGTTTTCCCCTAGCTAATGTGGTCTGGTAGATGTGGTACCAGCTTCTCCCCTTGCCACGAGCAGCTCAAAGATTTCTGACTGCTTCCTTCTTGCCAGGGTAGGGGAAAGGAGTCCTCAGCCTTGGCAGGTCTCCCTGAACTAGTGGGAAGCTTGATACCTACACCCAGGATGTTCCCTTTCTTAACTGCCCTTCTGCCTGGAATGCAGAAACAGAGCAGTCAGTGAGGCTGTTGTGGGCACAGTGTTGCTCTTTGTTTCCATTTTTTGTCAGACATGGGCAAAGCAGAAAATGCCCTTGGCAGTGAGTGCATCCCATCTTGGCGTGCTGTCAGGGGAGAGTGGAAGGACAGTCTTGCAGTGTCTCTGTCTGCTAATTGCTCTGTCTTGTTTTGGGTGAGCAGGTGAGCTTGTTCATAATTCTGTAAGCGAGGAATGTTGTAATATCAAATAATTAGCTTGCTCCCCTTCTTCCTGATGCTGGCACCAGCTCCCAGTGAATTTCTCAGTCCTGGAGTATGTTTCATAACAAGTGTGACTTAAAAAGCACCCTGAGGCTGAAGAAGCACAGGGGCTGTTTTCCAGATGTTCATCTAGCAGCAAGAGATGCTGCTCAGCGTGGCTGCAGATGACATTGTGAGAAAAGGCCTCCCTCGGCAGGAAACTCTTGTCAGGGCACCGGCTCTCGGGAGGAAATACAGAATGGCAGCACAATGCAGACAGCAGCACCATGGTGTTGTATTGATCCCTGACACAGCAGGAGCAGCAGGAGATAATCTTTTCACGTATGAGGAATCTGTATGTAAATTTGAGATACTGCATTGGAAACCTTGTAGTGTGCTATGTGATTATTGGATAAACTCCCCTGGGGGTTTCTTCAGCAACTGCTGCGCTGTAGCTTAAAGCAGCCAGGCCTTGCCCTGTCTGGCTGCATCTGAGGCTGGAGTTCTGCAAGCACCACGCTTGGAAAATGCTCCTGTTAAAAAGGGTTAGGACAATACTGTGGACTTTGCAAACTGACCTTGTGGTAATGGCCAGGAAGGCAGGCCTCTAGTGTGTCCTGGGAGATGTTTTGTCTCTCTGAAAGCGCATCTCTTTTAAAGAGAGGAAATTAACATTCAGGCAGAAAATGCTGTCTCTGTCAACTGGTGGTACCCAGCAAGAACTGGCTCGTAAATTAAAGCTTTTATTTGTGAAGAGGAAAACTGTTCTCAGTGCTATAAGGAAAACTGTTGTGCTGCTGTTGTGATGGGGAAGTTTGAATCATTTAAATAACTTGTTATTGTGCACTGCTCTTCACAGATGTTACAGACATACCCAGCTGGTTTTTAAATCCTCACCTCCTCCAAGAGAACCTGCTAAAGATAATTATAGTGCTGTGTCAATATTGACCAGTTACCTCATCCTCAGCAGGGAGGACTTTGGAGCACTGTTAGTTTTTTTCAATGCTTCTTTATGAAGCTGCATTTTTCTTTTCCAAGTGCTGTAAGAAATCTTTGGAAAGCAAGAAATATTGTGTTTTTCTTGCACCAGTGCTACTGGAAGCTTCGCACCAGCAGCTACATCCCTGCCTCTTCGGATGAAGGCAATCTTTGTTAAACATCTTGGGGCTGTCTGTCTTGATGACATGTATGTACCATGCCTTATAAAATGGTCCATGAGGTGTGTATACATCCAGGCACTACTGGTACAGAAATCAGGAGGAATAGTCATGTTGTTGTTGCACATTTCTGATTGAGAAGTAATGGGCAGTCACATGGGTGTTCTGTAGGTGCACAGAATCTGTTGTAGCATTGATTTTACCATGTAGTTTGTTACCAGTGCTTTTCTGAAGTCTTCTGAATGTGACTGCTCAATTACAAATTCCTAGCTTCCCTAGGATGTCCTTTCAAGATTTTAAAAGGCACTGTGACTCTTCTTGAACCTCTCTGAAGGGTGGGATGCAAAGGCGAGTTCTTCTTTCCATGTAATACCTGATGTGCCTGTAAATTTTGCTCATTTCCTTAGAACAGCTTCTGTCTGCCACTTTTATTTAGGAGGTGATGGTGGTATTTGACACCTCACAAAATTTTTATAAACTAGTTGCTGCAAGGTCTTTTAGCCTAGAAAATAGCTTGTGAAACTTAATGGAAGTGTTAAAAAATCAGGATGGTTATTGATGAGACTGAATCCAGAAATATCTGGGAGCGGGAGGATCCATTTCTTTCTTTGTGTGGTGTATAGGCTCAAAGTCACACTCAGAATGATGTGGTTACTGTGAGCTTACCTGCAGCCAAGATACCTTCTCTCCATAATGAACCTCACTTACACATCTGCAGGGTTCAGAGCATAGGACCCTAAACTAAATGGAGCTGCTTTGTCAGTTATAGAAGGGCTTTATGCTCAGCCAATAGAGTGGAGCACACTGCTATGTTTCATGATCCTCCTGCTGCTGAAATCAATAGCTGAAGATTCCTTTGGATATTAACTGGAGTAGGATGGAGCCCCAGACAACCTCCCCAAAGCCCTTGGAAAATGTCTGCCCTTTCAGATCCAACTACTGACTCCATTCTCAGAGACATTTGACAACATAAAAAGACTCAGGAATTGTAAAAAGCTGTTTCTGTGAATGACAGAAATAAAAAGAACTGGAAATAAGATTCTGTAAAAGATAGGTTTTTCTCCTTATTTGTAACTTTCATTGGTCAGCCACATATTTTTCAGAGTTTACTGAAATACTCAGTTTCACTTTATCAGGTTAAACATTTTTTGGGTAACAGTTTAGAGAGGAAGGATAATTGAAATTCAACAGAAGGGATTACTGCTTCTCTGAACACTTGACATTAGTCTTCCCTTGATGTACAGTTGCCCATGAATGTTTGGTTGTGGGGTTTTTTTTCTTTCTTTCTTTTCTTTCTTTCTTTCTTCAGTTGTTGTGGTTAAGAACCCCTTCATGGAATCCCAATAAGAAAATCAGCATGTGCGTTCCAAGTAGTGGTGATTATTCCATCCTCTAACTAAATATAGACATTGTGCAAGCTAGCACTGGAAAATAATGTAGTGAATAGTAGAGAGTGTGAGAAAGAACAACCATCTTAACTGCAGTGTCAGGCTGAAACTGCTGTATACTCACGTGCATCTGAGTAGATGCAGGGAAGTGATCCTGTCTGCACAGAGAAATATGGTTTTGGACTAAGATCATAGAGAACTCTTGTGGGAGGAGGGAGTGAATTGCACATAACCAATGGTCCCTAAGATTTTTTTTTTTTTTTTTAAGAAGGATAAATTCTGATTTTTTTAAATTCTCTGTTTTGAATTTTGTGAAGAGATCTGGGCACTTAATTGAGTCACCAAAGTTGGATGACTAAAGCTAACACCTGTAGATAAGTGACATCAGTTGCTGGTAAACAAAAATTTTATTTAATGTTTTGTGTTTGCATATTTCTAGAAACAGGACATTGAGCACAGGTGGGGTTTTGGGGGTTGTTTTTGTTTTTGTTTTTTTTAATCAGAAAGTAAAGCAAAAACCCAAGTATGCTGTGGTCAGCTGAATGATACATTTTGCTCTCCATCCTCATTCTTGTTCCTTCTCCCTCCCCCCCCCTTTTTTTTTCCCTTTGTATTTTCATTTTTCTTCTTTTTTTTTTTTCCCTTAATAACTTCTTTGTAGAGTGAGACAGACCTGGAGAAAGGCCTGGAGATGAGAAAATGGGTCCTGTCAGGTATCCTAGCCAGTGAGGAAACCTACCTGAGCCACCTGGAGGCTCTGCTGCTGGTAAGTGCTGGTGGCAGATGCCATTTCACTGGTACTTGAATTTTCACTGCTGCTTCCATCTAAAGTGTCCCAGAACTTCACCTACCATGGGTTACAAGTTGCCAGGTGCAAAGGATACCTGTTACTCCTCCAGCAGAGAAAGACAGGCTTAAAGAAAGGACTGGATATGGCACAACCAGGGAGTTGTTAGTGTGGTAGTATCCAGGAGCCCTGTCTTTCAGTATCCTGTGCTAATTATTAGACACATTGCTGTACAGTTGGACAGAGATTAAGGAAATGGAGTGCAAAGGGATTTTAATTGCATCATTAATATCCTGGGAAAATTCACCTATTAGAGGTGGCCAATCCCCATGAGAGAGCTTGTTAATGTCTAGCTTTCAGGAGTTGTGTGAATGCAAATATCACTTATTAATAGGATGAAAAACAACTCTCTGGAGGGATGTGTTGTACTGTGGCAAGGGTGAATGGACTTGGTTTGCATGATAACGATTTCCTTCATTTCTCATTTCAGCCTATGAAACCTTTGAAAGCAGCTGCCACCACCTCTCAGCCTGTGCTGACTAGTCAGCAGATTGAGACAATATTCTTCAAAGTGCCTGAGCTCTATGAGATACACAAAGAATTCTATGATGGGCTCTTTCCTCGAGTGCAGCAGTGGAGTCACCAGCAACGTGTAGGGGACCTCTTCCAAAAGCTGGTGAGTCAGCTACCATCACCAAAGCTTCTGTTACCTCTCATTCATCTCATAGGTGCTGGTGCGAGCCCCTTTGGTGACTATGCAAGGACCGAAGGGATGAAAACCGTTAGCTGGGTTAGATGAGAGGCTTCTGGCTTTGCCTCATTGCAGTGAAGGACCTACAGCAAAAGTAGCTGTTTCATTGCCTTTAAGTAAAGACTCCAGCAAGCTATGCCACTAATAGAAATATAATTTCACAGAAATGTTGAATCTCCAGGGTGTCTGCAGTGTCATCAAAACGTGTTTAGAGAAAGATGGGAGAATGGCACTGTTAAGAAGCATACTTTTTAACACCAACAGCTAAGTATTTCTCATTGCTGAAAATGAGAAATACACATACCAAACACATACTTCCTTCTCTCTGTGGTGCTTTGCTCTATCTTGTGCTGATTTTCTCTGATTTATGGTCATCACCTTTGCCTTTGCTTTTCTACCACCATCCTGGCCTTGATGTTCCCCTTGCTGCTATGCTGATGCAGTCAACCTGCTGCTGAGAATCCTCCAAGCAACCTCAGCAACATTGTGAGTGCAGAACAGGACAAAGACATATACAGCATATTCCTGAGGCTGAATTAAAATTGCTGAGTTTCTGAGCCAGATGACAAATTGTTTGCATTCTAACAGATTCTTTTGACCTCTTTAGCCTCTCCTCTAGCATGTGCAGGGAGCAAAGGATTAAAGGAGCTGTTTTTTCCTTTTTAGAAAAGAAAAGAATCTCTGCATTCCTGAGGTGCCTCTGATTCTCAGGGTAGGAGTGACATTCCAGTGAGGGGTTTATTGGATGGGGAGTGTGCTTTACTGGGGTCACTCAATTGTTAGCAGCTGTGCAGCCCAGCACCAGCCTCATCCCCTACGGAGCAGGGGGAGATGGACCTGGAAGGTGATGTTTTCCGTGCACACCAGCAGCTCAAGATCAAAATATGGGAATCTGCTTTTCACTGCCAGCATATTTTAGCCAGGAGGAGTCAAGTTGGTGCTTTGGTGAGTAGTTCATTATAGGCAATTCGAGCAACTGGTTTAAGAAGACAAAACCACCTGCTCCTGGTTGCTGAAGCAAAGATACAGAGGCTGCTGAAACTGGGAGCCTCATAAACTGCATTGAGAATGTTGTGCAGTGATGAAGACAGCGCTAACTGAAGAAGACTTGAATTTGTTCTTTACTACTGCTGGCTGTCGAGCAAGCTTTGACTCACCATACAGCTACTTAGGCTGTTGTTTAAGACCATGTCTTGCTGCTGGTCATCACACATGCAGGAGTTAAACACTTCTGACACTCTTATTTTTATGTTCCCCTGATTCCTCTGCATTTGTAACAGAATTGTTGATATTGTTGGATTAGTGTTGGTAGCAAAGGAGCAACTTACTCTAGTGCAGGAAGCTTTGAGCTAGCTTACCAGTTTCACTTTCTGGTGGTTTGGTACTGGATCAGTGGGAATTGCAAACTTTTTGCTGGTTGAGCTAAAGCTGGTAATTCTTGGCAGGCAGCGGGAAGCAGCTAGATGAGAGACAGCAGGAACATCAGGCATGACAAGACATCTATACAGGATGTACATCAAATCTTTTTGAGCAGACTGTTTACTTGTGGTCATGTCATGCAATCTGATGTTAAACACTGGAATCCTTATTATCCTGAGATCCCTGGGGACATGAATTTTCTTTAATATCACAAACCAAAGCACTGTATATTGAAGTTATAGATAGTGCATGTAAGAAGTTTTAGAATTTCATGTGGTCTGGCACAAAGTATGATCCATTTGCGACATCAGTTACGGTTATTCCACCTTTTTCCTGTTGAAACTAAGGAAAATTAAAAAAAAAAAGACGCTAGGCATGTGGGAGTGAAATATGCTTCTCATTTTTGGGAAATATTTTGTACGTATTTTTTATAACTAGAAAGGAAACACTTCAGAACTGTTTTTAGAAATGAAGAAATACTTATCAAATATTATCACTGGTAGTTTTTCAGGAATGGAAAAAATTTTAACCAAAAGCCAATTTTTTTCTACCAAGGCTTTGTTTAATTTTCAGTGTGTTCTTTTTAATTGAAAAAGAGAAAACTTAAACCAGCATGAAAACTGTGTGTGAGCGTTATTGCTTTGATTGGAAGCTCAGTTTTTAAAAGGTGTTTTCATGATGACATGTTTTTGAGGAGGAAAACAAAAGGTTAGAAAGACTTTTCAGGAGTAGCAGGAAATGAGTGCCATGTGGGAACCAAGAAATTTTAAAGCTCTGCCATGTTAGCTGGCATCATCCAAACCCGAACATCCCAAGTCCTGCAAATGATCAGTAATTCTGACAGCAGCTTCTTCACAGAATTGTGCCCCAGTGGCAAATACAGATTTTATTCTCTCCACACTGCTGGGGCCAGGTCATCCCTGGCGTAAGTGAGTGCAGTTGCCTTCAGCTTCAGTCATAACTGTTATTTTGTATGAGGGTTGAGACTGGTTCCTAGTCTCTCAGTAAAATGTGCCCAAGGAAATGGCTCGTTGTTTCTTAGCTTCTGTTAGCTAAAGAAATTCCTGCAGGGAATGTTCTTCTGAGAGTGGCTTTTTCTATTCCATCGTCTCTTGCACAAAGCTCCGCAGAGAATGGGGAATACAATGATTATGAGAGAGCAGGAGAGGAAAAGAGCACTGTCTGTGGGAAAGTCAACTGCTCTGCCTGTTGCATATCTTGAGCAGAAGTGTCAGGGAGGTTGGAAAAATAGTAAGGCAAGTGTAAGCTCTTCTGGTAACAAACTTCTCTTTAATGAAGCCTTTTACAGCACTCCACTGTTGGCTCACTACTGACCATGCACTTGCAGGCATGTTCAAGCTGCTGAGGTGTTTACAGACAGTCTGTTGCAGCTCTGTGACACAAAACCAGTTCTGCAATCCAGACAAGCTTGGAAGCTACCCGAGGGATTTCCCGAGCTGGATCTTATGTTCTCTGGCTTGAATATGACTGCAGTTCCTGAGTCAGCAAATGGTATCAGTGCTAAGACTCATTGATAATAATGGCTTATTACTGCACTCTGAGGCCTGCTCCATCTTCTTCTGGACCAACTGAGTATTCCTTCTGCTGGGAAGACTGCTGTTTTCTGTACATAGTGCTGCAGTCACTGCCTTCCAAACAGGCTGTGCTCTGGATCTCTCTTCTGTGTTTTCAGCACTCTGCAAAGTTCACTAATGCAGATAGGGGTTAATACCTGCGTTTGATTTAGTGTGTCCATCATGCAAAAGCCAACAAGTAGCTTACTGGGGTCACATTTGTGCTGTTGGGCTGAATCATTCCTGTCTGATTCATATTTTGTGGCAAGTAGCCAGCAGCTCCAGTTACATCAATGAGCTAAAATATTAATAGATACTAATCTGGCACTTCAGAAGGGAAAAATAGATGGCAGTAATAAGGATGTGTCATTCTCACAGGCTTCCACATCCTTCACAAGTGAACTTGTTCAGCATAGATGGAACTGGGCGCATGGGAGCACTTGGGCGGGTTAAGCAAAGCTGGTGGGTCAGAGATGTCTTTCTGGGCCTGCTCAGCATTCCCTGTGATTCTTTGGCATGAAGAAACATGACCTGACCATTGGATGCTGAGGCTGGCCATCCCAAACCATCGTCTTCTCCAGCGTTTATTTTATTTTGTTTTGCTTCCTGCAGGCCAGCCAGCTGGGAGTGTACCGGGCCTTTGTGGATAACTATGAAGTTGCTATGGAGACAGCAGAGAAATGCTGCCAAGCCAATGCTCAGTTTGCTGAAATCTCTGAGGTAATGTCATGGTATTCAGATACATGAGCCATCTGGATCTGACTAATACCCTGCAATGTCCCTCCTGTCTATCCTCCAAGTGTCTTTTCAGCCGTGTCTTCTGGAGGAGTTGTGAGCTCCTGTAGGCTCATGTTCTTACAGTGATTTATACTCGGAGCTAATAGCTGTTATCACATCGAGAGCCTTTATGTGCTGTCCCCACCCAGGGAATCTTGTGAAAACTGGCATTGCTTTGAACTTCTCAGCTCTGTGACACTTTCATGCATTTCTAGAAGAGAAACCTGTGTTTGAGTTTCTCAAATATTTCTTTTGCCAATGGTGATGCTGACTGTGGTGTAAAAAGCCATCCTTAATGGCTTGCATTATGGCTGTCAGTGGAATTGCAGGCTTCACTGATGCGGAGAGGAGGAGTGAGTAGCTCTCTGTTTAAAAAGGAAAGTAAGTCAACCATAATCTATAATATTATTAATTGGGCTGCTCTGTTTTCCTCTTTTTAAGACAAGTACCTTGTGTCAAAGCATTTTGAATATTTTTTCAGGCTTCCCAGGCCACCAGTTTTGTCTGCAGTGCATGGTCTTGTTGACTATTTGCATTATGATGATTATATCTTCAAGAACTCAATTGCCAAGAAAACATGAACTTCATATGTGTATCCTTAAAAACAAGCAGATAAATAATCAGAGCTGAATAATATTGGGGGCATTTATTGCTCTGAAAAAACTCCTGAGTACGTTCAATATTGCATGTCCCTTTAGATTTTTATGAGAAAGAGGTAAAATAAAACATGTTCCCTCTGTGAAATGAGGGAAGCAAGGCTTGCCTTTTGGGACCTGTTCTACTACTCAGAATGCACATGTCATCTATTCTCTCCTTTCCTCAGGACTTCCATCAAGTTCTGGTCCTTTGCCTTACCACTTCTGTGCTCTAGTGGTGTCAACTCATTAGTAATAAGTAGCTTCCCTTGTGCTTACTTTTTTTTCAGTACTAAAGTGCATTTCATGGACTTTCCCATTTATTAGTAGTAATATGTATAGATAGTATGATGGTAGTCCCTGGAAGACAGAATAGAGATTAAGGCCCCAGAGTCCTGGGCTCTGTACAAAAGTGGTCTCTTGGTTTTGCTGTTTTCTGAAGGATAATTCTGAAATCGTGCTAGTATCTACTGTATTTGGAATGATGGTGATGATACTTTTACATATGTGTTGTGGTGAGGATTTCAGAGCTCAGCACATTAGTGCATGTAGCTTCACAGTCCATGAGCAAAGGGAAGCGTCACAGGCATTGTTCCTTTTCTGCCATGAAGGAAAGGTGACTTTTTCAAGGTCACCCAGCTCTGAGTACAGTATAAAATAGTATAACCTGGGGGTACTGAGCACTCATCCTGTACTTCATTTATTGGTGGTGTACCCGTGCTGTAACAATGGCTGCATCCCTATGGACATGTCTTTCTCCTGCAGATGATTTAAAAACTCCATCCCTGTCGCTATAGGAGGTTCCCTGCTTTGCTGCATCTCTATGGACATGCACTTCTAAGAATATTGCTTAATATTTGAGATGTGTGAGTGCCTCTGACATGGCAGTGGTGGATTTACCAAGAAGAAAAACACAATTTTCCTTCACTTGAATTATGATAGGGCTGTCCTCCATTCACACTTAGGCCCTCCCTTGGAGGAGCAGGTAGTCTCTTACATTCCCATGTGATATTTCAAGGTGATTGACTCTCTGCTACATGGGTTTTCTTTTTCTTTTAGAATCTAAAGGCTAGAAGCACAAAGGAATCTAAAGATCAGGCGACGAAAAATTCATTGGAAAGTGAGTGATCCATGCAGAGGAGACTGTGGTTTGTCAGGACTGTTGCTGTTGCCAAACTTCCACTCTCCCTTTTACTTTTTAAATGCTTGAAGGTTATGGAGTCTCTGCTGGCTCTAACTGGGAAATCAGTTCCTTCTTGCTAAGTAGCAGAGCTTGTACATAGTAAGCTGCATGCATGCATGGGGAAGCCCCTGCCTAGTTTAAAACCTCATCAGTCCCTTTGGGCAAAACCAGGCCAACCAAAGGACTGCTGTGATTTTAAGATAACATCTGCTACCCAGTGATAGCACAAACACAGTCCTAGTAGTTATTGTTATATGGGTTGTGCTCTTTGGTAGCATCTGGAGAGCCTGGTCAAGATCAAGTTGCATGGTGCTTGTCTCTGTGCACATAAGTAGAAGACAACCTATGTGATAAGAAGCTTCCATACTCACTAGTATAAAAGCTAATGCCCTTCCTGGTTTTGGCCTGTTATCAGGATTTGGAAGCACTCAACATGTCATGCTGAACTCCAGAAGGAGGGAAGCACTGCCAACCTTTCAGGGACCTCCTTGGCAACTTTAAGAGTGCAAGGCCTGATTCTGACCTATGGGACCAGGGAGTTGTCAGAAGTGTGCCGTGCTGTGTGCAGTTGTTTTGTACTACCTTGTGTGCTCCTCATCCTCTGGCCAGCAGGGCTGTCTCACAAGTGGGCATCTGTTTGCTGTGGAACATGTTTATTTCCTCTGGGTGTTCATGTGTGTTTTATTGGCTGTACAGCACATTAACCTCAGAGAAGGGAATTTTCCAGTAGCTCATTGGTTAATAAATCTGAGCCTGTGTATTCAGTTGCATTGGACAAGTTGCTCTATCAGGGCTGTAGTTAGGTGCCTCTTCCTTATGTTCCTTATGTTCCTGCTGCCCTTTTTTTTGTTTTTGTTGTTTTTCCACAGCTCTATTATACAAGCCAGTGGATCGAGTGACTCGCAGCACACTTGTCCTGCATGTAAGTATCTGAAGGGTAGTTTTCAAACTTTAGGCTCCTTTCCGATTTTCTTTGCCCTTCATATTTTCCATGGAGCTGCAGGACTTCAAAAATAAACCTGTGATGCTGCATGAAAGCCTCTTCCCTTTACACTAAGGGGAGGGAGTCCATAGATAGGACCCTGCTGCCTCTTCAGTGGTGTTACCAAGAAGTGCAGAGTATTATCATCTTCCTCTGGAGATAAAGCCTTGCTCTAATCTGTAAGAATAAGCTGGAGCATCTTGTCCTATAGCTCTAGTTAGGGGCCCTCAGGCCCTTCTGCTTTCCAGTGCTGCTCACAGTTCTGTTCTTTGTGTTCCTGGTGTCAGGATTTGCTCAAGCACACTCCAGTAAGCCACCCTGATCATCCACTCCTGCAGGACGCTCTGCGCATCTCGCAGAACTTCCTCTCCAGCATCAATGAGGAGATCACACCTCGTCGGCAGTCCATGACTGTAAAGAAGGGGGAGGTGAGTCTTCCTGCTTTCGTTATTTTCTCAGTTTCTAAATACTGGTTCTGCCTTTTCTGTAGAGCGGGCTAGAAAGTTATGCTGCTCCTTTGTTTGTTGCTAAGATACAGTTTATGCAGTGTCCTTGTTCTCTAAAGGATGTGGTAACCCAGAGGAAAGTATGATTAGAGTTTTGTCTTTAGCATTGTTGTAATAATTTGTCATACATAATTTCTGTGATGCCTATTGCTATGCACTAAATGGATTTGTATTTTACCTGCAAACTGAAACCAAACAGGAAGCCTGAGAGGAGAAAAAGATGAGGAAACATCAGAAATAATAAAAGATTAGGAAAAGCTGTTTTCCCGAATCGTCATTCTTGCCAGAAATCTCACTTTTTGCATCCTCATTTCTAAAGAACAACACTGTAAATGGGACTAGGAAGCAAAATAAATGAGGGAGGTGATTGACTCCTAAGGGTGTAGTTCAAGTTTTCTCATCTCTACTAGGGAGCTAGACTACATGCACAAAGTTCTAAGATGTGCATTTCCTTTACCTGCATGCAGTGTTGTGCAAGGAGAGCACAGAGCTACACAACCATGAAGTCCTGCATGCCTCAGTGGGCTTGATTCATCTGCCTCATAATTTAATTAGAAAGCAATTCAGTCCTTCCTGATGAGGAAAGGCCAGGACTGACAGAAGTATTAAGAGAGAGAAGGATGTAGGAGATGGAAGAGAGAGGTGCAGCTCAGGTAGTGTATGTGTAAGAGGAATTGTGGCAGCATGCCAGAGACACTGTCTGATCAAAAGTGACCCAAATTACCCTGTACAAAAATATCTCTTGCAAAGCCCAGGAGATTTTTGAGATACCATGAACCCTCATGATGTATTCCCAAATTCTGTCAGCTAAACATGCTTGCTTTTAGCTGTTAAACTGATTTTCAACTGACAGAGATTTGCTAGAAGCTGCAATACTGGGAATTTGGTGCACTTTGTCCTGCAAGTCTTGCTCATTGTCTCATACAGTCAACTGAGGAAGTCTGCAGCTGAGAAAAGAAGAGGAGGGGCTGAGCAATTGAAGGCTGAGGTAGAAGCTGAGGCATCAGTCACCAGGGCCTCAGCGATAGTAGATGGCCTCATTAAAGTGGATGCTGATTGAGTCGTAGCTGAAATCACAGGCTAGAATGCCCCTTTGCAGGGGAGGGAGCATTTTGTGCTCTCTGGTTGTCTCAGTGAGGGATGCAGGCTTTGAAAGTGTCATGCTGAATCCTAATGAGGTGCCAGGGCTCAGGCAGAGGGGCAGGCTCAGGAGGATGATCCCGATGATCTCTTTTTGGAGTGGTGTATTTCTCAGATCTTAAAAAGCAGGAAGGGGAGGCTTGTCAGGATTAGGCTCAGCAGGCTTGTTCACTCTCTCACTGGTCCTGCAGTGACTCCATGTATGATGTGGGGAAGGAAAGAAGGAGACATACCCAAGAAGAGGGCTGTGGAGTGTGCTGGAGGGGACTGGGAACCCTTTGTGTTCTCCCTCACTGCACACAGCTTGCACTGAGCCCAGGGAAGAAAACAACTTGCTTCTCTTGCTTACCAGAGTTTTTCTTCCACCCTGGGAATCTGATGGTGGATACTTCCTTTAGTCATTTGGCACCAATATCCCACTTTTTTTCAAAATGATAATGCCCCAGTTGATGCAGCTCTGCCTAGAGAGTAAGTATGTTCCCTCTCTTCATAGTAATCCAGAGACATGAGTCTGCTCCCAGCTACTATTACTACTTGGATTAGTGATGGCTGCTCCTTCCTACAAGCTACTCAGCTTGGGGTCATAGCTGGGTTTTGTTTATGCCTGTAAATCTTTCCTTTTCTACTTATCCTTTCCTCCCACTCGCCTTGCTTGTGCTTCCCGTAGGGTGACAGGACAGTGTGCAGTTTGCATCTCCTAATTGACTGCTCTCAATGCATTATGCATTTTTTATTTTAATGAATCACCAGCTTGCTTTGATGGCTTTTTTCGTTATTTGTCTTCCTCCCATTGAAATTTCCTTGGTGGGAAGGAAGGAGGGAAAACAGCTCCTTCCCGTCATGTATTGCTTAGGTGCTGGATCTCGGTTATCTTTTTTTCCCAGTCCTTGCCTTTTATGTGGAATATTTTTCCTTTCTGAGTGTGTCGTGGGGAGGAGTCAAAGCTCCTTTGCCAGCCTTTTGCTTCAGCTTTTTTTTTTTTTTTTCCAGGATTGCTTTGAACTGGGGAAAGCAGCCAGTTGTTAATCTCCCTAGTGACAGGCTGCTGAGGAGAGGAGTGCAGGTCAGGAGAGAGTACAGGCTCATCAGCACAGTATTCCTCCCTTTTGCAAAAGGTGATCCCCTGCTCTGGGAGCATTGGCTCAGTCTGACCTGTCTGCTGTCTTCCTGCATGATGCCATGTGTCCTTCCTGCACACCAGCCCCCTGATTCTGCTTAGCTCAGTAGGCTTTTTTCTAATTCTAGACTTACACATATAAACTGAATGTAAGGGAAACTGAAAGGGAGTAAAACCATTCACCAGAGGGACAGAAAGGGCTACAACAGGGAAGGCAGTATTGGTGGGTTAAGCCTACCAACACATAGTTTGGTCCTTGCTGCCTGCCAGGCTGACTGTAGTCAGTCTTCTGTGCTTTGTGGTTTGCTGAGGGCTGCAGTATGGAGGAGCCAGGAGAGCACCAGCCCTGCCCTGGCAACACAGGGGAGCCAGGAGGGCTGATCTGGGCTTTTGAGTATGTTTCCATTCAGCCTGATCTGCTGCATTCTCTTGCTCCTTCCTTTTCTTCCTATCTTTCTACTTTTGTGGTTTTACTTTTTTTAGGATTTTTGATGGATTATCTGCAGATATCCACTTTGCCAACCCTCTAAATAACCAAACAAATGCATGGAGGCAAAAGGGGTCTGAGTAGCACTGTACCTGCTGACTCAGAGTGGGAGTGGTGGAAAATCTTCCACCCCTTATAACCATGGAGCAGGCATCTTATTGGCTCACTGCTGGTCTTTCTTGAGCTTGTGTTGTCCTCCCCTGACAGAAGTAAAGGCTTGTGTTTCCAGCTAATTCCATTTGTCCTTGTACAGCAGGGATTAATGAAACTCCAAAAAATTGCAGAGTTCATTTGGGAGACAGTGATTCCTTTCTTGACTGCTGCTCATCTAATGCTCTTTGCAGGATGTTGTTTCATGGCAGTTCAGACCAATCTGAGTGGTGGTGGCTGCCATTCCGCCTTGCCCCTGGCCATGCAGTCCCACCCTCTCTGAAGTGGTCACAGTGGTATTGGCATGATCCCACCGCGGCAGGGAGGAATGGAGCCGCCTAAAAATTAAGACTTTTTGAGTTTTGGGTCACTCTGCTGGCTGAGTGTCTGGTCTCATCAGCACCAGTCCGAAACAAGAAGGCTGACAGGCAGTTCCTTCTGGGATCAAGCCCACTAGATCGCATTTGGATCAGCTACTGTGTACCTTTTCTCTTGCCCTGGAGGGAAGAGGATGCTTGCCAAGCTACTCTACCATGATTCTAAATGTGATTTTAAACTGCAGTCAGGGACTGGGTATCATTATCTTGGTCTCCTGTTTAACCTGGTAGAGATCAAGTGTGTTAGGGAAGAGAAAGGACAAAGGACATTTGCAAGGGAGCAGAAACACAAACTAAAGTCTTTGAAAAGCTGGGAGCTAAGCTTAGACAGAGGCAGCCATGCGCAGCTAGAGGCCTGCTGCTTCTGGAGGCCTCAGGCAGATGTTTGCAATAGAGCACTCAAAAATTATCTTGGATGCTTCACACTCTGTCTTCCAGCCAGAGTCAGAGAGCTCCTGGTGACAGGAGCTTTGGAAAGAAAAAAGAAAAGGCTATTAAAATGCTCAAGGAGCAGCCAGTTTAGCTCCCTAGGCAGAGCATCCCTTTATTCTGCATTGCTGGTCTTGCAACACGCACACACACACACAAGGAATAATTTTCTTCCTACGCTCTGCAGAAAGCTAAACCACCTCTTCCTCACTGACATATGCCAATACCCATCTCCTGCTTTTACCCTCCTCCTCCTGCACCACACATGTTCCAGTCCTTCCCGGGGCTCTCACCCACGCACGCTGCAGGCCTCTGCTGTTACCACATCGGATGAGCTCTTTCCTCGGCACACGAGTGAGGAGATGGCCTTTTGTACAGCTGTGGTTCTGGATGAGTAGATTTTTAAGTTCTACTTTTTGTAATGTATCACAGACAAGCTGATCTTCTGCCACACTTCCTGGAATTAAACAGTACGTGGCAGCAGAAGGATTTGTCATATGCGAACAGCACAAAAACACTGTAGGATGAATAGATGAGCATACAGGTAGTGGTGAGGTTGGTAGCAGAGGAGGGAGAGATGCTCACTGACAGAGGTAAGAGGAAGAGGACAGCAACAGGCAATCCAAAGAGGATATCCAAGCCCTGAAAAATGTACAGGGAGAGCTATTTTGTCCAGAGCACTGAGATGGGTGGGAGAAGAATCAGGTGAAAACATGCAAAGGGAAGCAGGTCCTTGAAAGGAGACTTGGGACGTAGAGTGCACCAGCACAGGAGCTTTGCAAGAGCCACTGAAGGTAACAGTCAGCCCTGACCCTGTTTGAGAGACTAAAGATGATCCTAATTCATTCCTATATGATACAAAATAGGAAGTTTTCCCCCAGGCCTCCTGGTACATCATCCTATAGCTGAGCTGAGGTCCTGTGCCGGACACCTGACAGTCCTGGGGCTGTCTGTGGAAGAGAGGGGTCACCCTGCCACTGTACTGCCACTCTGATCCTAAGCTCATGTTTTCTTGAATGTTTCTTTGGTGTTTTGTAGTCTGTATGTCCTTTCAGGGTATTTTAGGAAACCTTTAACACCTTGGTAACCTTAACAGAGTAACTTTGGAAACAAGGCAGGGGTGGTGTCCCACACATAGGCTGTTGTATGTCACGTACAGCAGGATCATCCAGCCAAAAGATGTCATGTTTCAGGAGACCCTGATTAACAGGAGGCCACCAAAGGAATGGCCTGGGTAGGAGGAGCTGACCAAAGTGGGCTTTGGTTCCCAAACTGCTAGAAGACCTGTGGAGCTGATGTGGCAGGGGCATCTGACTGGCACTGGTCCTGTCTGAAGGGGGCTGCTGGCTCCCCCAGGATGGGGTGGGATGGGCTGACTCATGTCAGGAGGTCCAGCAAGGTGCCCTGCACTCCCTCACTGTGGGGTTTGGCAGGGATCTGGTAAGCCAGTTGGGAAATCCTTTTATTGTTTTCCTCTGACCTGCTGAACCCTCCCAGCAAGATGAATCATTTGCAACAGAGGATGTGACCCTTTGCTGGAAGCGTTCCTCCTCTGCACCACTCCTGCTGAGCAGCCTGGGGCATGCCCGTTGTGCCCAGCCTTAAGGAAAGTCTTGTTTTCCAAGAGAAGCTGGTAGTTAGATCCAATATCAAGCTCCACGCCCCTGTGAGGAGAGATTTCCTGAGTTGATCCACAAATGTTTTCTCCTGTCCTCTCCTCCCCAGATACTTGGTTGCTTTTGTGGCAGTTTACCCCTGCTGCTTGCTGAGGGGAGACTTTCCCAACTAGCTCACGAGCAAGAAGACATGAAGAATGAAAGGTCTGGGAAGCTCAGTGTTTTCCTCTGAGAGGCTGACTGGAATACATCCCTTTCACCTCTTTGCTTCTGTTCCAGTCAGCCTTAGGAAATACAGCTTTGTCTTCTTCCCATCCAGCTCTCCTTCTGTGAGATCATGCGGCCAAAGACTTTTTGCTGCCTCATGGCAGCACCGTCTCTCATGTCAGTCAGGGTATTTTGTACCCAGAAGTGCTAGCCAAAATAAACTCGGTGCAAATGAGTGGTACTTCAGTCTCAGATGGGAAGTATGAAGGCTGTTGAATCACACCCCTGTTTTGGCATCATATGGCTGAGCTTTCTGCTTGGGTTTTGGGGAGATGTGGGACAGAGAGCATGGCTGTTTGGGGGAAGTCTGCTTGGGTGGTGACAGCCAAGGACTGTACAGCAGCAGGTTAGGTGCAGCTTCAGAAGGCAGGAGAAGGGGTGGCCTAGTTGGACCACAGGCAGGCCGTGGGGGAAGGTCTGTAGCCTTGCTGCAGGGAATACTGATGGGCTGTTCTTTTCTTACTTTGTGGAGGCCTGACACAAAGGTTTCCAGTCACTGGTGCCTCTGTACGGGGTTCCTTTTGCTTGAGGACGTGCTTGTCTTCAAAATGCTCTGGTCTAGATGATGGTACTGGAATACTGCCAAAACCAGGGGGCTGACCTAGGGCTGAGCAGCGTCCTTCACAGCCCTCCAACAGCTCTTGTGGGCCTGTGCCCTCCATCGCCTGTGAAGAAACACATTGCTGGCCATGGTTTTGGCCTGTCTCTGCCACCAGAGACATCTTCCCAGTATGGGGTGCTGAGTCTGTGCTCTGGACTAGCCTGGGATATTTTTCAGCTAGGAACTCTCAGCGGGGTGCTGGGCTGATGTCACACACTCCTGGTGCCTGGCAGAGGGGGACAGAAGGCCAGGTCAGGACCGTGCCATGTCCCTGCTGGGTCGGGAAGGGACAGTACCACATCCTGCTGCGCAGCAGAGATGAGTAAGCTGTGAGAACATCTTTACACCTACGAACAATGAGCAGAGGTTGAGCTGGCAACAAGCAGCTATTCTCATTGCCCCAGAGGAGCTGAGCTGATTTGCAGTGTAATTAATATGCATCAGATCTAAAACCTGAGATCAGGGTTTTGGCTCACTCAGAAAATATCTTTCCCTGCTTCATTATTGCTCCCAAATGAAATTCTTTGCAGCCGTGGAGAGTGTTTTTGCTACTGACAACATACCTGCTCCTTTTTATTTACTTATTTTTAAAGCTCAGTGTTTCTAGTTTCCTGCCGGGGGTGTGTTTGCCAGGCGGGACTGGGAGGCATGCACAAGTGCGCATCAGCAGCAGAGACGTTAATGCAGGCAGGCGTTCTCTCCAAAACCACTGAGGAGAAGCCAGGAGAATCACACCCACCTAAAAATAAACATTAACATATGTACAGGCCTTTCTGAGCCTGAATCACTGCTGGATACCAGATCTCCACAGAATCCTGCCCAGAGATGGTGCAACAGTCTGCTAGGGAGCAGCCTTGCTTCCTGGCACTATGGGAAAGGCTTTTGCTGCTGCTCACAGATTTCCAGGACCTTTGTGTAATGGAAGGCAGCGTCAGGATGAGATGCTGACACTGCTAGGTGTGCTTTAACAGCTAGCTGTGGTGATAGAGCAGCTGCAGACAAGAAAATGCAGGCGCTTAGTCCCTGTCAGGAAGTTTAGGGTGCTGTAGGACAGAGCGTGGAAACAAGAGTTATGTCTGCAAGGGCACTTCTCTGTCTTGTGTTCCTTGCCATGATGCCTGCTGGGCTCAGGACTGATGTGGTTTGTCTTCATTTTGGAGAGCCAAGATGGGAAGAATGGTAGGCGGAAGGAGAGGCAGCATGGGGGTTTGCACTCCCACACCCTCTGCAGTCAATGTGTTCAGGGCTCGTTAAGTCATGCAGCAAATGAAACCCATGGGGCATAACCCATGGTGTCAGTCCTGGTTTGGCTGTCCTGTCCTTGCCCAGGTTAACTGCTTTCCTGTTGCATGCTGCTGCACAGCTGAGCACAGTTGCCTCTTGGAAACTGAGTTTTCATGTGATGTTTCCCAGCGTGGGGATTCCAGGGATACTACAGGTTGGGAGTGAGTCGTACTGACAGGTCCCGAGCACGGACCTGGAGAAGGCTGCCAGTGAGACAGCACGAGGTGGTGTTGGTTAGTGCTGGGCAGTGTCAGCAGATCTCTCCTGTCCCTGGCCGTGGTGCTGTCTAGGTGTATATGGTATGTGTCACATGTCAATTGTGGTGTCAGGGGAGTGTCCTCTCAGCTGGAATAGCAAGGAAATAGTATGGGTCAGGAAAAGTACCTTAGCATACCTGTGGGGAGAAGTTAATGGTTCCTACTTGTACTGTACTGGCTGTGAAGCAAGGCAACGCTGACAGTTATGTACTGTTGGGAGTAAATTTTGCCCAAAGCTTAATACCCCTGACTTCTGTTTGAAAATCAGTGGGAGACAGCTATTCCAGCACTCAGGTTCCTATTGATCCTGCCATCAGAGCAGGAGGAGAAGGCCTGAGCATAGAGTAGAGCTTGAAACTACGCACTTGGTCACTGGTACACAGTGACAGATGGCACACAGCCATCTGTCTCTGGGCCACTGCTCGGGCCTTTTCCTCTTTCAGCTATTGAGTCCCAATAAGGGCATTAGGAAAGCAATGCTGCTGCCTACCACTGTCTGCCTCTTATTTAGGAGACTGTAAAGCTCCCCAGGACTAGAAACAGGAGTAAAGGCATCAGGGTTGTACAGCTGCTTTGCATCTTCTAGGTTTGGGGAGTGCTTATATGATATGTAGAAGAGATTTAAGTAGGCATGGGGTGGGGGCATATCCAGATGGTCCTATTTAAACATAGGCTGATAAGGGACTACTGAGAAGTTTGCTGGGCACACATTTTGTTTAGGAATCATCCCTGAACAGCACTTGTACTAAAGCAGCAGCAATGGCATTCAGCTGTTCATGTTGACAAACTACTGCTGTGAATGGGGAGCGGAGGTGTTGGTGGAGGTGTTCACTCCTCTTTCTCCCTGGTGGGGTAGCTTGAGCTGAATTCAGTGGCTGGGTGAGTGACTCTGAGAAAGGTGGTGTTTGCTGCTCTCTGCTGGTTTGTGGGGGGATGATGTGCTGTCAGCGATTCTGGCCCTTCCGTATGCAGAAGCTGGGCAGTGACTCTCGATAAATTACACTTGGGCTCAGGGACAGGTGATGGAGAGAAGCCTCAAGTCTGACCCAGAACCAGATAAGAAAGGAGACGTGTGGCCATTTCTGCCTCTAGGAGAGAGGGCAGCAGCAGGGAGCAGAGCTTGCAGTAAGGAGCATTTAACAGCCTTTTTTCTGCATTAGACTGAATTGGCTCTGGTAGGAGTCATGTCTAAGGAACAATCTGCCTCAGTACCAAATCTGGGGCTCATAGTGCAATAACTAAAACGTTTTTTCTATTTTCTCACCAGCACCGGCAGCTCCTGAAGGACAGTTTCATGGTGGAGCTGGTTGAGGGGGCTCGCAAACTACGTCATGTCTTTCTTTTTACTGATCTGTTCCTGTGTGCCAAGCTCAAGAAGCAGATTGGAGGGTGAGGTTTTCCTTCTGGCCTATGTGTTTTGCATCTCAGCTTCAGAAGAATCCTGGTTTAGCCAGCAATTTTAATTGCATATGAATACCCTAGACCTGGGTAACCATAATACTCAAGATGTAGTTAGACAAGGAATGACCAGCAAGGTGGAAGTGACTGTTATGAGACCTTGGCCAAGTCCTGATCCCTCAGGAAAAGTTAATTCCTCCCCCTTACCCTGTGCCTTCCTAGGAAAATAGCGTATGCTGTAACTGCTGGTATTCTGAAGAAATGCCATTCATTTTTCTACCACACATTCCCTGCCTCTTCTTTTAAGAGGTGACATTCTTCACTTTCTTTTGTTACTAAGGTTATTTATTTTGGCCTTGCAGCTACAGCCAGTTAATAGTTTTGCAGAAAAATTGAAAAGTTACAATAAACAGACTATGTGTCAACCCCAAAGCACAGGTATACAAACAGTATTGTTAACGTTTTTCCACAAATGAGGGGAGAGGAACCTTTATTGATAAAGCACTGAGGGCTTTTCTTCATTTGGTGGATGTTCTGCTGTGCGATACCACTCTCATCGTGCCCTCCTCAAGCAAGGAGGGCAAGTTGTCCTTGCCCTTTTTGAAGCACATGTTTTTGAGGAATGAACCTTCAAAACAGTGGGACGTTCCTAATAGTGGATGTTCCTCAGAGGAGTGGTGGAGAGGGAATAAATCACATGAAATACTTAAGAAGTGAACTGGTTATCCTGGTGAGAGCACTGGAGAATGGCAGTCAGGAGCTGTAGTTTCTCTCTTCTAGTTGGATTGCAAAGAGTTTATACATATTGGCTCATCTGCTCCACTTGGCCCTCCTAGCTCAGGCAGGGGAGACCTGGCTTTGGACCCAGGTCAGAGCCATGGAAATGGCTTTTGAACTTTGCCTTTATGGGTGCTTCAAAGAGAGATCACGCAGGACTGAAAGGGCTTGCAAAAGATCTTGGTGGTTTTCTTAGGATGAAAAGAACTAAATCACAAAACCAGGTGCTTTGTTATGTGCTGTACTGGCTATTGGCCCTTCTAGGCTTCCTTGCTGGAAAGCAGCCCTTTACCAGACTGTTCTGCATGGGAGTCACAGTGAAGTTTCGCCCATTTCTGTATCTTATGCACTGTAGTGGGGAAGGGCTTGTGGGAAGGAGGAAGTAGGTGTTGCCAAACACCAGTAAAAGATTTGGACCCTCTGTCTTTCAGGAAAAGCCAGCAGTATGACTGCAAATGGTACATCCCGCTCACTGACCTTAGTTTCCAAATGGTGGATGAGTCTGAGGCAGTGCCCAATATCCCACTGGTACCTGATGAGGAACTGGATGCCATGAAGATCAAGATCTCCCAGATCAAGAATGACATCCAACGTGAAAAGGTAAAAGGGGTTGAGTATTTCGTGCCAAGCCCAGACTCAGTGTCTCTGCTGAGATGAGGTGCTGACAGAAGCAGCGTTCCCAGAGCTGCACAGCACGGGGAGTTGTGCTAAAACAGACTGTTCAGCAGAGGCTTATGGTGCAGCTGTTATCAGTGATATCCAGACTCTCTGCAGCCCATCGTTGCTTGTCTTAGTGCATAGCTTGAGTTATCGTGTCCTGTGAGGAGGCAGAAACGAAAAGACCCTGTATCTGTACCCAGTAGCTCCTCTGCTTGCATGGGATCGCCTGTGACTGCTGTTCCCGAGAATCCATGTGGAGATGGGGCTCTTACGCTGTGGACACGAGAGGGACTGGGAGTATGGCATGCCAATTTCTTGCTGTTAAAGTATGATTCTGCAAGTGATTTTGGTCAGAAGTCACCTCCTTCTGAATTTTTGCGGGTTCAGTTATGCTTTTGAAGCTTTTTCTGACTTCACTGGTGTCAAAGCATCAGCAAATACAAGGAGAATGGCAATTATGCTGACTGGACTCTGGAACAGAAAGTGCAGGGTCTAGCTCAGACAGTGGCCATGCACCTCTGCACCTTTAGGGCAGCTGGGAAACAGAGCCAAGTCTGAGAATAGAGATACTGCAGGTGACATCTTCCTGAGCAGCTGGGAGCCCTGTGGATCCTTTGACAGCTTTTCTCCTGCCTGGGGCCATTTGGCTACTGAAAGAAGGAAGGGACTGTGGATTTTAAAATGTCTGTCAGTGTAAATGAGAGCAGTTGTTGGAGAATAACATGTGTTCTCTGTCTCCTCTCCCCCATGCTTCAGAGGGCCAATAAGGGCAGCAAGGTTATTGAGAGGTTGAAAAAGAAGCTCTCAGAGCAGGAATCCCTCCTACTGCTGATGTCTCCCAACATGGCCTTCCGGGTACACAATCGCAATGGCAAGGTGAGTGGCTCTTCTGGTCTCCCTCAGTGCATGAGACAGAGGTCGAGGAGTGGGTGTGCATGTGTTTGTATATGCTGTTGTGCAAGGAGGTGTTCATGCTCTCTACTGTCTGGCCTGAAAGCACTTTCCAAGCAGCAAACACCCAGCCCTTGCTACACCAAAGGTTATGATGACATTCTGTAAGGCTGTGACTAATTTGTGTGCAGTGTTGGTATTTAAAAGTAACGTTAGAAATTAATCCCCTACATCAGCACCTGCCCTGGAAGAGCAATAGGAATGGCTCTCTTCACCTAAGATAAAGTTCTGCCACAGACTCCCCTTCAGTGCACTCAGGGCCGTCTCCTCAGGACTGTAGGCTGCACGTGGCACCAGGGACGCTGAATCGCTGTGAACAATCCCCTTCAGCACTGTGGGGTGCTCAGTGTGCCAGAGGTACCCCCTGCTCTGGTAGCTGTAACCTGTCACTGCAGCCTTTCCATGCACATGGCAAAGGACTCACATTAGATCCTGTTACTAATCAGTGACAATCCACAAGCTGGTCACTGCTTCCTCAGCTTGCATGAGTGTCTAGGCCTGTGCTGGAGGCTTTTGTGTTTCCTGGTGCAACTGTTGTGAGGAGTAGCACAGAATTACCACAGGACCTCATGCTGCCAGGGACACAGCTGCTGTTTGCAGGGTGGAGCTCTGTGAAAGCTCTGGCGGCAGGAGTCCATGTTGGTACCACTGGCACATTGCTGAGAAGGCACATTGCCAGAGTCCAGCCTGTCACTGACCGAGCTGTGATGTGGGGCAACTGGCAGGGGTACTAGAAGGGCATTATGTCCAACAGTTTCTACTGGAGGAGGGTGGGAGGCAGGCAGGCCTGCTCTCAGTGGTCAGACTAATGCATACCCTATTTTCTTCTCTTTTCCTGGACAGAGTTACACGTTCCTCATTTCATCGGACTACGAAAGGGCAGAATGGAGGGAGAATATCCGGGAGCAGCAGAAGAAATGTGAGTGTCCCTCAGCTGGGCATTGGTACAAATACTGTGATCTTCTTAGAGAGCAGGAGTCCAGAGGAGGAGGTGTGGGGCAGGGTTCCCTGCAAAAAGAGGGATGTGTGTTGAAATCCACAGCACAACATGGATGTCCCCTGTCTCTGCACATCTGAGCCTGTCTGGGGGACTGTTGCTTGCAGCAACCTGTATGGAATGTGTAGGGAGAGCACTTAGTAAGTGTGTGGAGAGATTGTCCCACTTATGCTAGAGATCAGAGCTCTGTGCAGCTCTAGGTAGAGGGAACAGCTGCACCCTTTTACCTGGCTCCAGTCCAAAGAAACTTACTTACTTTTTTAGCATGGGTGTTTTTTAGCTTTGCAAGAAAATAAGAGCCTCTCTTGTTCCCTGTGAACTGTCCTTAGACTTGTTACTCCAAAGAGTAACTAAATATGCCCTCAACAGAGCTGGGCTGCAGCAGCAGTACACACCTGAGCACCACGGTACTGTTGCTGAGCATTGCCCAGGGGGCAGCTGTCCCATGCATGCTGGGAATGAGGGAGCATGCATCCAGCCTCTGCTTTGAATTTTAATTCCTCCCTCTTTGAATCTCTTTGGCAGGCTTTAAAAGCTTCTCACTCACATCAGTGGAGCTCCAGATGCTGACAAACTCCTGTGTGAAGCTTCAGACAGTCCACAACATTCCTCTCACTATCAATAAGGAAGGTGAGACCTTTGGTTTATGCTTTCACATGGTACAGCTGCAGCGAGAACCTGCCTCTGCCTGCCCTTGTGCGTTTACCCTAGAACTACTCTTACTGTTTCTTCTTGCTACAGGCTTCAACCTGGTGATGAGTTACAAACTGAGAGCTCCTGTAAAATAAAAGCTGAGACCATATGTACCCAACTTGTGTAGTTTAGTTGAAGTAGATGATAGCGTACAAAAAGAGAGCAGCAGGAACAAGAACAATCTGTCATCCTAATGTTACTTGCTGCAACAATAAAAATACAAGCTCCAACTTTTATGGCTACATATAAAGTAGTAAAATATTCCTGGACATCCTCCAATATGTATATTCATTGACTATTAAATGGTCTTTGCTTGCAGCCGTCATGCCAGGGATTAGAATGCCTGTTGGAGTCCTAGCCTGGCACAGCTTTGAACTATGCCTGGGAATCCTTTGGAAGAACAGTAGTTGGCCCAAATTGTGTCACAGACCATCCTAAATTACTATTTAATCTGCTCCTATAGACTTAGCCTCTATATTTTACTTTTTAGCCTTTGAGTTTCTTCCATGCTGTCTTGCGTTGTAAAAGCCACACGTTGCCAGAAGGCATTACAGGTGAAACCCACACTGAACCTGGAGCCCTCTCTCTTGCTGAAATGGCTGGATGACATACTCCTGCCATCCTTTTTAGGGACAGTTTACCCTCTGCTCATTAACCTGTGTAATATCAGTTCCATCACTATTGCTTTCACTCTTGGCCATTCTGTGAAAGTAACAAAATTCCTGGGTCTTTTGTACAGATGATGAATCCCCAGGTCTCTATGGATTCCTGAATGTCATTGTCCACTCTGCCACAGGATTCAAGCAAAGTTCAAGTGAGTTGCAGTTCTGTAATACACAGGGGTATTGATAAGGGTTAGATGGTTCAGGTGCTGTGACAGCCTGGCATGGACTGCAGCATCTGGGATGATGGTGAGGAGGAGAGGTGACTGGGGAACTGGAAGTGAAGTTGGGGCATTGGTGTAAATTTAGGGGAATGCAGTTTTTTTAATGCTGCTGTTAACTCCCAGAAAGATCAGGATCAAGGATCAAGCATGCAGCATTATTCAAAATTCAGGGGAGTGATTTGACAGAAGGAACAAAAAAGGGGAAAAAATAGAGCGAAGAGGACAGCTGTAGAAATAAACATGCTTCTCAGCCATTGATGAGGATAATCTAAGAAAAGCTGCAAAGCTTGTGTAGCCATGTGGCTGGGGATCCTGTTCTTACCTAGGCTGCATGTGCAGTCTCAGGAGGAAAGGAGTGAACACGTACATGCTTTCTGTTAGCCTGCCTCCTGATGAACCACTGACTTCCCAGATGCTGGCTGACATCACTTACAACATAACTTAGAAACAGGGGCAATGTCTGCAGCTTATTAGTAGCTCTTCAGAAACACCACTTACCACATAACTAACCACTTTGTGAAGGTAATGAGTTTTTGATGGCTGGCCCCTAACCTAATCTCTGAGGGATATTATACTGATGCTGTTCTCAGTGAAATTGGTTTGGATGTGTTGATGGGGTCTGATGTCTGCCTGGCAATCTTTAATTTCTCATTGGTGTACAACTTCTGCTCATTGTGGATTAATTTGGGAAATACTGGCTAATAGCATACACCTGATTCAAAGGCAACTCTGCTGGCCCAGGTGATGAGATTTTTGCTGGATAGTGTTACTGGTACTGATACAAAGAAGATGCAAATGAAGACACACCTGAAAGTGATTAATGCAAGTTAGGAGATTCTATTAGAAAGTTTTTAAAAGTTTCTGTCCCTGTCTCCCCTCCCTAGATTTGTACTGCACATTAGAGGTGGATTCTTTTGGGTATTTCGTGAACAAGGCTAAAACTAGAGTTTACAGAGACACCACAGAGCCCAACTGGAATGAGGTAGGTTGGATTTTTCTTCGTGTGACTTGTTCCGTGTACACGATGTCCAGCAACACACGATGGGCAGAAAACCTGCAAATGGAAGAACTTGCTGCATGCTGCCTCTCAGAAAACACTTTTATGACAGATTCATTTGACTCTCAGGGCTTGCAGAAGATTTTCTCCTGGATTAGCTGTAGTTAAACATTTCAGTACAAATTAGCCTTGTCCAGTGTTTCATCATTTAAACAGATGCATGTTTGATTATATATATTTTTTTTAAAGCCAGAAGTGAAAATATGTTGAAGAAGGAGGTGGTTTTGTTTATTTGTTGTGAGGGGGAAGAATTAGCCATAGACATTTTGCCTGTTTACAGCCAACTCCAACCTGCTGGGGAGCAAAATTAAATAGAAGGAAGGTGGGCGAGTGTTTCTCTGAGGATGCTTTGCTGAAACTCAGGGAAACCTGACTAAGGAGTCAACCATCTTAGTCTCTGATTTGACTGCTTTATGTATACAAAATACAACTTCAGTTTATTTCTAGGCCAACTCCATTAGGGAGGAGGTTTCGGTCAGTCCTTAAGTGCTCCCTCCTGATGAGTTTTAAGGAGGCTGTATTGATTATTAACAGATAAGTGTCTGACAGTGATATATTCATTGCTCTTTCCTGGTGCCCTGCAGGAGTTTGAGATTGAGCTGGAAGGCTCACAAACTCTGCGGATTCTGTGCTATGAAAAGTGCTACAACAAAACCAAGCTCACCAAAGAGGATGGAGAGAGCACAGATCGCATAATGGGGAAAGGACAGATCCAGGTCAGTGTGCTTAACTCATTCCTGCCACTTTTTCTGCAAAACTTAACAGGACTTTTGAATCCTGGAGTGCACCAGGGAGGTTGTTTTTCTGCCTTCTGATTGTCTCAGCATTGGAGATTTTTCTCCAGGCAGCGTGATTCACAGGTAGGAAGTCAGCAGCTTTTTCACTCTTGCCTTGTGCCCTGTGCCTACCTCAGTTCTCTTATGGAACCAGGTGGCTTTTCATGAAAATTTACGTTTTGCTCTCCGATTTGGCTGTTAACTTCAAAACTTCCAGCACGGTATGTAGGCACTGCACTGTCACTGGGCACTGTTGAGGATGCTCCATTTGTGACAAAAGAGAAAGCAATGAATATACTATCCCCTCTGTAACTCATGTGGAAGAAATGCTACCTTCTGTACATGCTGGAAGTTGATTGATGTGATGGCAAGGCCTTGGAGGACAAGCTTATTGTCCTGGTAACTGCCATGTCCAGAGTGTAGTGTCCACGACAACAGGCTGCATCTGAGAGAGATTTCCATGGGACACTTTATCTTTTGTGGCAAATCTGTAATACAACAGCGGAGGTGATGAGATGATTGCAAAGGGATGCTGCTCTGTGATAAAGCTCCATGGAGGAGAAATCAGGCCATCTTAGAAAACAACATGGAGAACGTATGTTTCCCCCTCTTCTTCCAGTTTGTTACACTGTCTGTCCACAGCTTTGGAGGGTGTTTAAATGCTTGCTCTGAGGACACATTCTTTGTGTTGGGCTGGCTGCTGTACAGAGCAGAGACTGCCCAGATACATTTTTCTTTCTGGCATGCTGGAAAATACCACTAGTTCTCTTCCATTTACCTTTGACTCTTCATCACTCCATGGATGACAGCTTTCTCCAACATTTCAGTGATGGTCACAGAGGCCAAGGCCATTTGTGGGGTTTCAGAAACAGCTCTGATTGAGGGCAGCCTGCAGGATCATCTCTCACCTTCACTCTGGAAGGGTTCATTGTCTAAATGAGTTTCATTAGGCCTGTTCCTTTCCCTCCCTCCTCGCAGCCCTGAGGCTGCCGTGCATTTTCAGGGAAAGCTTTTGTCACCAAACACATGATGCATGTTTGAAAATCAATAAATGCAGTACAGGGTGCCTCCTATGTACGTCTCTCAGGCTAACCAGAAATCTATATGTCCCTTCTGCTAACAAAAGCTTATTTTCCATGGAGCTGAGCAACTACAAAAGAGCAAGTTTTTAGCCCTGAAATACCCTGGAGATTTGTGTGCTTACAGTGGAGAACCCTGAAATCACTGACCCTCTAAATTCTTCAGATATTTTACATGGAATGATTAAAAACTGAGTAAAATCTTTTACATTTTTAACTTTTTTTTTTTTTTTTAAATAAGCTGGGCATTTTTAAGCACAGCACTTGTACATTCTGTTAAAACATTTTATACTTAAGTTAATAAGTAAAAATACTCTTTGGTGACACTTGAATAGTAATTGCATCTTGATTCTTTTAGAGAAACCTAAACAGTGGAAAGTAAAAAAAAAAAATAAAAAAATCAATAAAAATGTTTCTGATGAGTGTGCAAAAGTCACATTCTGTTGTATCATAAAAGGCAAATGCAAAAGTTTTCTTGCTTTCAGTAAATTCCACTTGCAATTTATAAAGAAACTTGGTGAACTCTCCAAACATCCTCTTAACTGTTAGTGATTTCTGTCCCATCACACAACTTTTGAACACTATTGAATAACTGCAAAGATGAGTCATGAGACAGTCTGGTAGGAATTTGAGTTTATAAGAATTAATAAAGGTTTTTATTTAGATTTAGTTTTATTTTTAAAGGAAACACCATTTCTCTATGAAGAAATCATAACAATGCAACAACAGAATCAAATTACAACCTGAAGGTTAGCTGTATTCATGCTGCAGCATATTTTTCAGTCACTGGTGTTATAGTAATTTTCTTTGAGGATTTTGCCAGGTCCTTTACATTAATTTTTGTTTACTTCAGAGTTGCTAGTGTGTCTAAGCCTTTCTGTTTTGTTGTTGTTCTTGCATTGTCATTATTCAGCCAAAGTCTGTCTTGTGTAAAGGCAAAATCAGTGAAGTTGGATGAGGTTTTTTTTTTTTCCTAAATTTCCTTTCGTTAAAAGCTCTGGGATCATCAAGAGTCGTGTCTGCATCCTCCTGCTGATAAAAACAGGGAAATTTCTGTGTTGGCTAAATCACAACGTATTGTTAAACTGGGTATTATTGTAAATCCGCAACTACCCACTAGTGGGATTTCTGACTCACCAAATTCTCTGAGCTGCAGTGAAGAAGACAATGCATTGAGGAGATGAGGACTGTTTTGGCTGTGATATGTTTATTAAATCTCTCCGTTACATAATGGCACTGGAGGAAGGAAGACTGGAAATTGGTCCATGTGGTCAGAAGCTTCCAGGAATGGGCAGCAATTTTAATAGCTCCCATTGCTCATATTTTCTTTTCCTATGGAATATTTTATTTACCTGGTTTTATAGCCACATGCAATGGCTTCATTGCTTGACAACTTGCAAATTTTATCCCTGAAAAATAAAACCATGAAGTTTTAATATGGGAGGACCTCCTGTAAATGTAGAAGTGAAGTCCTCATCAGACCTTCTGGGAACGGCAGCACTGGATGTGCGGTGTTTAACTAGCTGGTTGGTGCCGTCTGCTATGTCTCAGGCATGGGAAATACAGGGAGAAGGTGCCATTCCGGGGTACACTGTGAAACTGAAATTACTGGGGGGCTTGGGAGAGCAAGAAATGGACATTTTGTTATAGAAGGAAACATGAGTTCAGTTGTAAGCATCATTTTTTTCCCCTTTTTTCTTTCTGTTGTTCCCTTGCAATTCATCTTTGGTACTTGGGAGGCTGGGCCCTTTTGCTCTTTGAATTTTGCACTTCACGTGGCAGGCACGTCCACGTGGTTTGAGTGTAGCAACCTTTTGTTGGGTCCTGAGACTCTATCTAAGTGGGCACGTATGTCTGCAAAACTGGCCTCTGCCTTCAGAACAGACTGCAGGAGTAAACTGATACTTCATCCTGTGATCCATCTCCTCCAGTTGGTGCCTCCTAGCAATGCTGTTTCCTTTGTGTTTTGTTTTGTTTTGTTTTTCTGCATGATCAGCTCAGGCAAACCATTTCCTCCTCCCTCGCAGCAGTGCTGGAAAATCAGAGAGGATATGACCTTAGATCAGTCATTCTGCGGTGGCAGCAGCGTTCCTCCGTTGCCATGCAAAACAGCCACTCTTATCTGCTTAATTATCTGGGATGTCTCGTAGCACTGCACATGGCTATCTCAGACATCCAGGTTGTTTTCCATGTAAACCAGATTGTCACATGCTGTACTTCCCAAGTGTCAACTCAGAAAACCTTTTACACACTGGAGTTCATTGGAACAGTTTGCTCATGCAGAACAGTATCCCAGCAATGAAAATATGGTGGGAATGAAGAAGGCAATGGGTCATGTCTAAAGGGTGATGGCGGGAAAGATTAACATGTCAGTGAGGAGCTTTGAGAAGAGTGGGGTTATGGCTGGACTGGGATTTCCAGCAGCAGTGAGGCTCTGACAGCATGTATGTCACATCAGTTACAATTTAAAATTAATGGAGTGTAAAGTTGCCAGGGAGATTTAATAAAGGGAGGAAATAATGTGAATAAATAGCATAAAACACACTAACCTTGAGGTTGCCTCAGTCTTTGCTCCCAGGCATTTCATTTCCACTGATGCTTCTTGGTTTTTTCCTCTTTCTGTATGTTTTCTATTCTCTTCTGGCAGGGTGGGGAGACTCATCAAACTCTCTGTAGTGGTTTCCTGAAGCAGAGCACAGACCCTCTTCTCAGTGCCCACCTTGCTTTTGCCATTGACCAGCATCCCCAGTTTGCCTTTTTCCCAGGTCCTCACCACTCTGTGCTGCACGCTCAGCCTCTGCTGACTGCCCCACACTGATTGTCTGGCTAATTCAGTGCTAAGCTGCTACGAAGGCCAGAGACTTGTGCTCAGAAATCCCTGTGGTGCTGAGCTGCTTCGTTCTGTTGTGTTTTGTGCAGGATCCAGAGGCATTTGCTTGATTCATTAGTGAATCCGGGGCTGTAGCTTGCTACTGCAAATGCCAAAGAACAGGCCACAGGGGGACTGGGGGTGCTGGGGGAGTAAAGGCAAACTGGTTTGTTGGTATTTTTCCTGTGCAGCGTGAGCTTTGGGTGAGGACTGTGCAAACAAGCCTGTGAGATACATTCTTTGAGGGTTTTAGCAGGTCTGTCCTGTTAGCACAGGTCATGGGAACAACACAATTTTTCACAGTTGCAGTGGAGATGGGACAGGTCCTTTTGTCACTCAAGCCAAGCAGCTGTTTGAAGGAAATGTTTAAAGGTGCAGTTAATTTCACTGACAGATTCATGCAGAGGCAGCCATTTCACAGTGCCTCCCCCTGCTTGAGCTGGCAAAGCGAGGGCTCTGTGCTTGCTCACTCGGAGCAGCCTCCTTTTGGCACGCTGTCTGGAGTCTGCGTTCTTCTACTCAGTGTTCTTTCTTCCAGGTCATTGATCTCCAAATCAGGCCAGGAGACAGCATGTCCCCATTTGTCACAGGCCATCTCTATGCTGGAGCATCGCGCTCACTCTCTTTGTCTTTAGTCTGCTTTGTAACCTGTCTGCTCCGGCTGCCCTTGCCATGTGCTGCTCTTGCTCTTGCTGGCCTTAGCAGGTCAGTCATCTGTAGGGTCCAGGACTGAAAGCTTGCTCAAAGTCTAAATGACCTTCTTAGCTTCCTGTTGATTCTGTTATTTCCTACTGTGACTATATCAGACTGTTAGACCTGATCTTCCTGTCTCACTCAGTGTTGCTCAGACCTTATCCAAGCTTTGCTCTTTTATTAGCTTCCATCATTTTGCTTTGTTATTTAAAAAGCACCCTGGGGGGGATTTTTTTGGTTTTTTGTTTTAATTGCTGTTGTTATTGTCAGTGATTTATGCAGGGTTGGCTCAGGTCAGCCAGACCCACTCCCTGGCCCTTGTTCTCTCTAGCTATCTCCATTTATTGCAGACTGTTCTTCAGCAGGGGTCAAACAGCAGGTGGGGCGTGTGGGGGTCCTGCCAGCCCTGTGATGGAGTTGAGACAAGGGAGCAAGAGGCAGCAGCAGGTACACTCACAGTCCTTGCTCAGCTCCAGTAGTTACCCAGCAAGGAAGAGTCTCTGTGAGCTCTCAGCTCCAGCACAGTGCTTTTGCTAGCCCTTTGCAGCCGTGTGGTTTTCACTCTTGGGACAGAGTAGGACTTTGGTTTATACTTTTTAACAGCTATTTACTTGCTTTCATTTTGTACAGTGGCAGGAGTTGCCTGGTCATCACTGAGACATAACCAGCAATACCCGTTAGCTTAAATAAACTCTAACTGGACCCTGCTGGACTCTTCCTTTAACTTTTTTGGCAAATATTCAGAAACCCCTCTTTCCCCTTCAGTCTTAAGCAGTTTCTCCCTGCTATAAATAATCCATTCTCAGTGACTCCATTCTAAAAGCATATGGAGAGCTGCTTCCGAGCTGGAGGATCGGCTGTGGCTGTGTCTGTCAGCAGGGCCATTTTGGCAGCTTCACGAGATGACTGTTTAGGCAGCTGGAGGTGAAGCTTTCAGGAATACTGAGCAGGGTTGCTCTCCATAGGAAACCAGACACTTCAGAAATGGTTTCCTCTTGATTCTGGGAAAGAATGCAGTTGTTGAAAGAAACCAAACTTCCAGCACGGAAATTCAGGGAAGAACAGCCTAGATCTGGCCAACTTGTAGGGACCTTGGCCAGCCGCGCAGGCGGGGGCGGATCTGTTCCGCCAGAGTTATAAGCAAAGCCTCTTGGCAAGCAGTCTGTTATTTGGGTTTGCTGAAGCACTGAAGCTAAGCAGTGCTGCCCATTGGCCTGCTGGACCTCTGTGCAGTCCCAAAATGTGGGAGCTACTGGTTACTGACTATTCCTTACAAGGGGTCTTCAGGAATTTCTGCCAGAGTTGCACCTACAGGAGCCGGTCCAATTCGACGGGAAAGCAGTGGGATGCTGGCAGCATCCCGCTCTGGGCTCACGTCCGTAACAAAGTGCGCAGAGATAAGGTTGGCCTGACTTGCTTGTCTGTTGCTTCTCGGGGTCTCTGCAGTGTGAGCAAGCAGGGAGAGACCTTTCTTTCTGCTGATGGTCTTTTCTGGGGAGCAGGGAAGGGCATGGGGGTACGTATGGTACTTGTCTCTGTAGCTGTCAGCAGCTTTGTGCTAGTTTGTTGATGATCTGAAAGAGAGTGTGAGCTTGACTGCATCTCAGATCTCCCAGAATATACCCCAGCTGCCATTGTTACAACACATACCCTGCCTGGCAGGGAGCTCCCTGGCGTTCCTTGAGCAGGAGGAGCTGTGCTGCAGAAATACCTCTGGTTACTGAGTGTATTTTTGTTTGCTGAGAACAATAAACTCAAAACACAGTCTATTGCAGTTGCCTCCTCCTGGTCTTACTGTGTCTCTGTTCCAGAGCCAGGTGTTACAAAGCCATCTCAGGAGGCACTGAAGTCTGCTTGCTTTGGCTGGTTCTGATTGCTGATGGAAGTCCTCATGCAGACAGATCTTTTCTCTCTTTGCCAGCGTAGCTTGAGCTGAGTGCCACTCCTCAGGTGTTCAGATGTGTTTGGACTCTCCCAGGCAGTACTGGAATGGCTGAGTGATGTTTGAATACTTGAGTCAGCTCCTCCCCAGCCTCACAACTGACCTCTCAAAAGAGATCGAGCAAAGCTGAAAATGGGAGATCAGGGCTTTGCATCAGAAGTTTCTGTTTAATGAATTCTTGAAATAGCAGGGCCAGGTGTTCTTGCCTTCACACTCCAGTAGAAATGACAAGGAATAGGCAGGTTGAAAAAGGACAACTTTTCATGATTTCTGGGCTGATTTTCTCTACTTCTCTGTCAGGGTCTGACTGAGGTTTGGTTTGTATGAAGTTACTTATCTGTGTACAGATCACTTCATATTTCTCTTCCTTGATCTCACTGTTAGGGTCATTATGACTTTTGAATTCAGTGGAACATAGTCCTTCTTGCAAGCTATTAGTTTCATAGCCAAGAGCTATGAAGCTTTCCAGCCTGGCTTTTTATTTCAGTGCAGTAATTTCATACTCATCCAACCACACCTGTCTCCAGAAAACTGCAGAGGGAGACAGCTTCCTCTATTTCAAATCAGAGTTATTTCAGAGATCTCTCTTCCCCTTTTCTGAGTCCTAGCGCTGTGGGATGGGACAGATTTGGCTCTGTCAATGTGCTTGTTGTGCTACAGCAATGCATGCAGTCTCTCTTTCTATGGAAGCTGAGGTTACTTGCTTTCAAACGTTGATTTGGCTCACAATCACTTTGTCTTTGTTGTTGAGCAGACACTGCACACATGTTGCTGGATTTTCCATGTGTGTGAGTCCTCATCAGCCCTGCTTAGAGAGCTGCACAATGTCCGAGTGTCCGGTTACCTGAAACCAGGGAAACCTTGGAATGTGTTTTCCTATAGAAAAGAAAAAACGTGTTGAAAGGGGGAGTGCTCTGCTCACTTGCAGAAGCCTTTCAGGCTAGCTGATTTCTCTGAAGTCTGTTCCTAGCTCATGGGTAGCTTCCATGTTTTTCAGCTGGACCCCCAGACGTTGCAAGACAAAGATTGGCAGCGCACGGTCATCTCAATGAATGGAGTAAGTATGGAAAGCAGAAGTTAGCACTACTCCTCTACTTAATACATGTGCTTTATTTCTTTGCCTTAAATTGCAATATAAAAGAAAGAAAAGAAAACATTTGAAAAGTAACAGCAGTTCTCTTTTATTCAGGTTGAAGTGAAGCTGTCGGTGAAGTTCACCAGTCGGGAGTTCAGCCTGAAAAGGATGCCGTCCCGGAAACAGACTGGGGTGTTTGGGGTCAAGATCGCTATTGTCACCAAGTGAGCTGATGGGTCACATTTTTCCCTCTTGTTTTTCAGAAACCCAGCTGGTCACTGGGTTGTGCCTGTCTTTGCCCCACTGAGGGATATGGCAGTCCCATCTGCTCCACTTGGGTAGTGGTGTAGATGGCTGTGGCTGCAGAGAGGAGATGCTGTACGTTCTCTGAGCTTCAGGGGAAAAGCCAGCATGCAGACAGGCTTTGAAACCTGGGTTGTTTACAGCTTTTCTGAGTTCTGGAAATACCCCTTGCCCCTGTACTCTCTAGTTAGCTGACTTGGTCACAAATTTCCAGAGCCACTGAACAGTGATGTTTCCTTTCCATAATCGGAAGTGTTCAAGTTCTTTGGATCCTGCTGTATTATTTTAACCCCTGATCTTTTGTCATGAATCGTTTGCCAGAAGAAACCTGTTTGTACTGTTCTATAGTTTGGGAAGTGCGGTATTTCCTCCCTATGGAACTGTGTTAATTGGAAAGCAGCGGCGTTGCCATGTATCCAAGGTCTGTTTGGGAATTCTCTGGTTACCTGCGCAAAGTCGCAGACTTTGGGGGCACTAGAGCCCGGCCAGAAGCCCAAGTGCTCAGGACAGCTGCAGAACAGCCAAACCCAGGCTGAGACACTCAGAAAACCCTCTCCACTCTTAGAAGGAGTTTTTCAGCTCAGTCTTGATTCCCTGCTCAGACTTTCTCCCACTCCATCTTCCAGAAGAGGTTTGCACAGCAAAACGATGGGTTGCTCTTAGCATGGCTGGCTGGCTGGGGTAACAAGCGTGGAGGGCATGGGCTGTACTGAACTCCTCTCTCTGGCTTTCTTAAGGAGAGAGAGATCGAAGGTGCCTTACATAGTGCGCCAGTGCGTGGAGGAGATAGAGCGGCGTGGGATGGAGGAGGTGGGCATCTACCGTGTCTCTGGGGTAGCAACCGATATCCAGGCTTTGAAAGCTGCCTTTGATGTCAGTAAGTATTTGTGTCTGATGTTTTCCTTTGCACTGTGAGAGCCTGTGTGAGCTCCCTGTCAGGTGGCTGTGCTCTGCTATTTTTAATCTTATATTCCCCAAGAAGCATTAAGAGGTAGAGATTCTTGCACATGGAGAATCATTTGAACCCTGGCTGTATGTTTTATTGATATTCTTCAGCTACAGGCATAACCCAAGACATAACAATGGGGTGGATCCTTATACCAAAGGATGCATTTGTTATTCTTCCCAGCAGACATTAAATGGTGGGTTTGCCTGCCTTGCCAAGTCTTTGTAAACGGCAAACACCTTCCTCAGGGGAAGCGGCAGCAATTGGAAGCTGTAATTAATAGAAGTCCTTGAAATTGAGAATGATTTGTGAAAGGAAGCCAGCAAAAAAATTTTCTAAGGTTGACTAGGAAGGGTGTTTATGAAACTGAAGTTGGGTGGTCAGGGCTCCCAAGTTCTCTTCTTGACTCTGTGTCTAGATTGATGTGTGCAGATTCTAAAATGAGGTAATTTTGACCAAGCTTTGTAAAGCTTTCTTTGGTCTTGAGCAGAAAAGGGCTCCTTACTGGTGCTGCATTTAAAAGAACAGCATGTATGTCCCAAAAGGCATCCAAGATCAGGCAGATGAAACACCTCCAAACTGATGAAGCACAAAAAGTGAAATTGTGCCCTACTTCCAGCCTCCCCATGATGGTCTAAGGGCTGCTCAAGCCACACTCGAGCTCTCTGAGGCAAGGGCCTGTGCCAGGTGCCCAAATTCACTCTCCCTGAACTTTTCCTTCACTCATTTTGTGCAATTTCTTCCTTTGTGAATTTTCTTTTCAATCTCCCTGAGCTACCAAACACATTGATTTATGAATCTTCACTAGTGCCCGTGAATGTTTCACATTTTGAAAACCAGTTTTTAAGATTTATATTAAATGCTGGTTTACACTGAGCTTCATGAAACCAGCTCTGTTGGTTGGTTTATTTGTTTTAGGGAAAGGGCGAGTGGTTTTGTTGTTCTTAATAGTAACAAAACTGAAATGTGAGCCCTGAATTGCCTGTGCTTTAGCTCCACCTCCCAGTCTCTTATTCTAAGCTGTTAGAGGCAGGGAATTGGAATAACGATGGCTGTCACTAACAGAAGTTGAAATGCATATCAATAGTGAGGCAGGCCTTGTTCCAGGTTAGGCTGAGGTCGCTGGCACAGCGTAAGTAACCCTGGGTAGTGTGAGGGTCCCTCTACTTGACTTAAAGCTATAAACTGTTTGCAGTCATTTCTGCAGCACTTTCCATTTGTCAGATGGTAGCTCATTTCATCTGGAGAAATGTAAACAGGAGAACTCTCAGGTATTTGGGCAAAGACAAAGGATGAACAAAGAGAGACAAAGGATGAAAAAGAAGGAATGCAAGGCCAGCAGCTGCTTACCCTGCTCCCCTTCTTCCCTCTGTCAGATAACAAAGATGTGTCGGTGATGATGAGCGAGATGGATGTCAATGCCATTGCAGGCACCTTGAAGCTCTACTTCCGGGAACTGCCCGAGCCCCTCTTCACAGATGAACTGTACCCCAACTTTGCTGAGGGCATTGGTAGGTAGTAGCAGAAACAACCCTTGATAACCGGGTCTGTGTTAAAGACACAGTTCTGTAGGAGGCCGCTCCTAAAGCGATACAAAAACCATATTTACAGTGTTGGACAGAGCTCAGAAACGAGCATTGGAATGACATATTCTTCCTATGAGCCTGAATGTGGGCAGTTGTCCTGCCTTTTTGTACAGTGAAAATGTCCAGGTTTCTGAAGGATAGGCTAAGAGCACAATGACAGCCTACTTGCTGAGGCTGTGCTTGCTGTTTTCCCCATTCAGTCTTCCAGGGAAGCCCTCCGGGGGGGGTGTACCTTGTCTTACCTTGATGCAGAGGAAAAACATCATAATAGTTGAAAGTCTGAAGGCATATGAACTGCTTGAGAGAAAAGGATTCTCTACATACCTGTGAAATAAAGGAAAGATCCTCTGGGATATTGATGTGCAACTCTGACCTCCCAACCTGGGCTGTAATTACAGTCCATTCAGGACTATCCCTATTTGTTGTTTTGGGGAATTATGCAGCCAGTCAGGTTCTCACTCACTGCCTATGGTGATGTTTTGTTATTGTCTCTCTTGTAGCACTTTCAGATCCTGTTGCAAAGGAAAGCTGTATGTTGAATCTATTGTTATCGCTTCCAGAACCCAACCTTGTGACATTCCTTTTCCTTTTGGACCATTTAAAAAGGTAATATGTGAATCCTTCAGACACTGTTTAATGCGTAAAGCATCATTGTTTTGAAAAGAGGAGCCTTTTCCTTGAATTTGTGCTGAACCACACAAATGAAGACACATTTGTTGTGAATGCTCATCAGATAACTATTGTCTCATACTCAGTGAGGCAGTAGATCCTGAATTCCCCTTATTCCCGCTGGAT